GTTTAAGACTTATATACTGAATTATCAAAGAATAGAAAGTGTGCTGGGGGGCTGGGGATGTGGCTCAATTGGTATCGCGCTCACCTGGCATGCATGAGGCCCGGGTTCGATCCTCAGCACCACATACAAAGATGTTGTGTCTGCCGAGAACTAAAAAATAAATATTAAAAAATTCTCTCTCTCTCTCTCTCTCCCCCCCTCCCTCTCTCGCTCTCTCTCTCTCTCCCCCCCCCCCTCTCTTTTCTTTCTCTCTCCCTCTCTCTTAAAAAAAAGAAAAAGAAAAAAAAAAAGAAAGTGTGCTGGGCATGGTGGCTTATGTCTATAATCCCAGCAGCTCAGGAGGCTGAGGCAGGAGGATCACGACGAGTTCAAAGCCAGCCTCAACAACATAGTGAGGCCCTAAGCAATTCAGCAAGACCCTGTCGATAAATAAAATACAAAAAGAGGGCTGCAGATGTGGCTTAGTGGTTAAGTGCCCCTGAGTTCAATTCCCGGTACCACAAAAAGAAAAAAAAAATAGTAAGTGTGACAAAGCAACTAAATTACATGGGAGGGCTGAAGATAAAGAGTTATTTTAACAAGGCCTTTACATAATTCTTTCTGGCACAACTTCCTGTCCTTGAATATAAGAATGTTGTTTCCCTTGGACTAGTTATAGGAATTTCATCTTCTGCTTTTCAGAAACAGAAGGAAGGTCAAAATGATCTTCTTGCACCTGCTGTTTATTTTTCTAAGTTAATTAACTCAAGTTGATTCTTATGTCAAAGTGGTAAGTTTGGGGGGTGGTATGTTCTGAATATCATCAGATGCATACCATGGGGGAAGAACTCTCTATGTAGATACTAAGTGCGGTTGTCCCAGGGAGTGGGTATTGATGCTGTGGACACAGCTAAAGGCTGTAAAGTTTCCTTCTTGGCAAAGGATACAGATACTTACTGAGAGAGTTTATAATGTGAGACAGAATACAGACAATAGGCTTCCAAACAAGGTCCCCCAAAGTTCCTTATTAGAATTATACCATCAGAGTGAATCAAGTTATGGAGTTTCAAACCATCCTGGTTTGCCTGGGACTAAGGAGTTTTCTCAGGATTTTTAATGTTATAACCAAGAAGAATCAGGCAAAATGAGGCAGTTGGCTAATCTAACTGAGAAGTGTATTTTGCTATTCTTGGATCCTTTCCTGACCTTATTGCCCACCTGATCATAGAGGAGATACAGGCAACACATCTGTCTGCCCATCAGGAGCAAATGAAAACAGTCTAATACATTCCTGTTATCATGAGATGATAGAAAGTGAAGGCCAGTTTTCAATTTCTCAGGAACATCCTTCAGTAGGCCTGGACTTCAGGCAGTCTGAGATCCACTCCTGAAATAATAATCATCTTAAGAATAGTCATATGTAAAAAAAATATAGACCCTATTAGTAAGATTCAGATATTAACTTTTGATTCTGCCACATTGAGGAATTATTGTATCCCTTGGCCAGTAGTAAATGAGGGCCATCCTTTGATTCTTGACAGCCCATTCTTCTCCTGCTGAGCGGTGGTGGTTCACTCTGAAATGGTCACTTCCCAATAGAATTGTTTTATAGAAATTGTACAGTCTGAGGCCTTCAAACTGAAATGGCTCCACATTTAATTTTTTAAAAATATTTTTTAGTTGTTGATGGATTTTTATTTTATACATATTTATATGCGGTGCTGAGAATCAAACCCAGGGCCTCCCACATGTAAGGCAAGCACTCTACCACTAGAGCACAACCCTAGTCCTTAATTTTTTTTGGGGGGGTACCCCCAGCTCAATAATTGTTTCTTAAAAGTTACTTCTCTGAAACCAGTAAGCTAATTTTCTCCCCAGAGGCTATGAGAACACACCATTTCTTCAGTGATAGATAGTAGATATATTCTGTATACTTGAATATTCTGTACTCTTTGTTTGCAGATTCCATATAAACTACTAAGGATTTCAAGCAGTTTGGACATTAATATCTAAAATAGTTTCCAAACATAGTTTTCTTCCTATTACCCTTGGAAGGGGGGTGACTGGAGGTTGAACCCAGGGGCACTTTACCACTGAGCTACATCCCCAGTCCTTTTTATTTTTTATTTTGAGACAGGTTTCTAAGATGTTGAGGCTGGCCTTGAACTTGGAATCTCCCTGCTTCTGTCTCCTGAGTTGCTGGGATTACAGGCATTCACCACCATGCACAGCTTTCTATTACTCTTATATCACCTATTTCATCAATTCTTCAGTATATCTACAATTAAATAAGCATGATCTCAATGGCCCAGACTGTAGACTCTTAATAGTAGCTACCAATCTATTAAATGTGACATTTACCATGTTCCCAATATTAAGTCAGAAAGGAAAAACCCAGAAATCATTACATTGGGAGCTAGTACATAACCATAAATTGTCTAAGTATAGTTCAAATGTTTAAGAGTTCTGTGATACCTTCCTACCCCTTTCTATTTTTTTATATTGAGACAGGGTTTCACTGAATGAGTGAGGCTGGCCTTGAACTTGTAATCTTTCTGTCTCAGCCTCCCAATTTGCTGGATTACAGGCCACCACACACAGCAGTAGTTAATTATATTCTTAAATTAAGCCAAGCACCTATTTTGATTCATTACTTGAGAGAATATAAAAGTACAAAGGCTACCACATATTTTCACTTTTTTCCTGTTTTGACAAGACGCTGGCAAATTTCTGTAATGGTTCTATTTAGAATTTGATTTGTGGTTGATGTTGGCAACTGGTATAGTCTTTAGGTCATACAGCCCACCTTTATAGAACAATTAGAATGTGTTTACTCATAACACTCATAGGTTATAAATCCAGAGAAAGGCTTAAACTAATTCTTGATTCAATAGCATTCCCACGGCCAAGAAACTCAAATGGCTTTGAAGTTTTTTTTTTCCCCAAATGCTAAATATAAAACAGGGTAATTGTTCTCATGAACTAGTATCTACTTTTTTAAGCATTAAAGGAGTGAGCCACAATATTGACAGAAAATGCCATTATTCCAACAATTATACCATATGAGTAATTTAGAAAAATACCTACTATTCAAGCAAAAGGTAATGAAGGTCAAACAACAGGAACTAAGGATATTGAACCAATAAAGGACCAATTACCCAGATCACCTTGTTCAGTGGATCTCAAACTTCAGCATGCATCAGAATTACCTATGGGGCTTGTTAAAACAGATTACTGGACCCTAACCCTAGAGTTTCTGATGCAGTAAGTCTGAGATGAAGCTCAAAATTTTGCATTTCTAACAAGTTCTCAGGTAGTGCTGATGCTGTTCCCTACATAATTATTTTCCATGTTTGCTTCCCTTTGTTCCACCAAATATAAAAACACAAAGATTTTGCCACTTCTTTGAGTCATCATTTCTTTTTAAAATTTTTTTGTAGTTATAGATGAACAGCATGCTTTACTTATTCATTTATTTATTTAGTAGTTGTAGATGGACAGAATACCTTTATTTTATTTGTTTATTTTTATGTGGTGCTAAGGATCGAACCCAATGCCTCATACATGCTAGGCAAGCACTCTGCCACTGAGTTTCAGCCCCAGCCCTAGGTCATCATTTCTTTATAAGGGCTCTGTAAAACTTGTGTTACACATTTGGACTTGTCTCCTGTTTGTCTTATGTCAATTTAGTTCTTAGGCCTTTCTAAGATCTTAAAAGCGTCAAGATAAAGTTTTGCTTCCTCCGGTACACTTACACACTCGAAAGTCCAGCCCCACTCAGAGATCAACTGACTAAATCCTAGTGCTCGATTTCCAGAGAAGAAGATCTGAATGGCATTCCTTATGTTAAGTGTCCTCTCCTGATCCAATCATTTATGGCTACCGAAGTAGGGTTGTGCAGTATAAATAGGTCTACCTCTGTCTTTGGGGCAGTGAAGACACTCACTAACTGGGCTAACACTTCAAGAAGCATCTGCTCAGAGATTTTGCCAGCGCTTGATCATTTCTTTCTATCCAGCATACTTTCTAGCTCTCATGAAGAGAAGTGGATCAAGAATATAACATTCCTGACCTATCAAACTGGCAAAAATTCAGGCAGCAACACACAGATGGTAAGGYTGATGTGGGACTGCAAAAGAGCACAAGCTTTTTGTCAAACCCACAAAAAATACAGATATATTTAACATCTAAGCTAGAGATCTCACTTCTTGGGGAATTGCTATTCAACAAGGGAAGAGAAATGGCCGAAGAACATAGATATTTTTAGTTTCTACACTTAAAAAAATCATAGACAAAGAATACCCTATAATATCAAAAGATAAAAAACTACTCAGAATCCCCATACTTTACAATAATTAAACATAGCCAGCCTTGGGACTCACATGCTCTTTCGTGCCATATGCCAATAGAAAAGCTCCATTCAATTTTGGAACTTTTCATCCACAGGCAACATTTTAGGATTGCTTCTATTTCTGACTGTGAAGAAAGTCTGCCTTATATAATGCCAATGTGACCCAAAGTGAATTTGCTCCAAAAATATCTAGTCCCACTGGTGTATGATGTTGGGGACCACATTGGTCCCTCTGCAGCACAGCATGTACAGTGGCACATGAAAATACTTTTTAAGTACTGAATGTGGTAGTATTCATCTATAATGATCTCAGTGATTTAGGAGGCTGAGGCAGGAGGATCACAAGCTCAAGGCCAGCCTTGGCAACTTAGCAAGACCCTCTCTGAAATTTTTAAAATTTAAAATTTAAAAATATAATAATGGCTGGAGATGTAGCATGGTTGTAGAGTGCCCCAGGTTCTATCCCCAGTTTAACCAAACCAAACCAAACAAAAAACACCTTTAAATGATAAGAAATTTTATAGGAAAAAAACAAAAAAAATGATATGGGAACATTTTTGCAGCAAATGTAGTTCATATACATGAACTAAACACCTTGGAAAATCCAAATAAAGGACATGGTTTTAAGTTATCATTTATCTTCTCTCTCTCTCTTTTTTCCCCCCTGCAGTACATCTCTTCACATATTGCAGACCTTAAAAGTGAAATTTTTGAGGAACTTCTGAAGCACCTTTGCCACTGTGCAGATGATTTCCGGGAGGTTGTAAAAGCTGACTTACAGAGACAGATGTTTGCTGACCTCTTTCTATATTGTGACTCTGGGAAGGTAGGTTAAGGCCTTTAAACCATTGCTTCTCACAGTATTGGTTATGAAGGACCAGTTTTTTGCATCTTTGTAGTTAATGATGTTTTAAATTTTTCAATTGTATATCAACATGTAATCAATGAAAATGGATTACTGGGGGGAGAGACACACAAAATACAATCCTCATTTTTATTATCTGATTCAAGTCTGATTTATTATCAGTTACTTTCTCAAATCGCTGTAAAAATTTCAAGATATTATTCTCAATTTTTGTATCTGGCACCAACATGCAAACCATAGCTAGAGTGGAACTACCGTTTCAGGATTTATCACTTGTTTCTAAACGTATCTCTTGCCCATTCCTAAATCACTAGATGATTAAATTGTTTTTGCTTTTTCTCTTTTTTGGTAACTTCCTATATAAAAGGGCTGCTAGAAAGCCTATCACTTTATTTTACTGTTCTTAAAAACAGAAGAATTTGTATCAAAAAGTGTTTCTATTGTGAATTGTGCTGCAGTAAACATTGATGTGACTGTGTCCTTGTAGTATGCTGTTTTTAAGTCCTTTAGGTATAAACCAAGGAGTGGGATAGCTGGGTCAAAAGGTGGTTCCATTCCCAGTTTTCCAAGGAATCTCCATACTGTTTTCCTTATTGGCTGCACCATTTTGCAGACCCACCACCAATGTGTGGTTGTGCGTTTCTCCCCACATCCTCACCAACACTTATTGTAGTTTGCATTCTTAATAGCTGCCATTCTGACTGGAGTGAGATAAAATCTTTAGTTTTGATTTGCATTTCTCTGATTGCTAGAGATGTTGAACATTTTTCCATATATTTGTTGATTGATTGTATATCACCTTCTGAGAAGTGTCTGTTCAGTTCCTTGGCCCATTTATTGATTGGGTTATTTGTTTTTTTGGTGTTTAGCTTTTTGAGTGGTTCTCTATCTGATGTACAAGTTGTAAAAATTTGCTCCCAAGCTTAGGCTCTCTATTCTCCTCACTGAATGTTTCTTTTTCTGAGAAGAAGCTTTCTAGGTTGAATCCATCCTATTTATTAATTCTTGATTTTAATTCTTGCACTATAGGAGTCTTATTAAATTTGGGGGGCTGGGGTTGTGGCTCAGTGGTAGCGTGCTTGCCCAGCATGTGTGAGGCACTGGGTTCCATCCTCAGCATCACATAAAAATAAAGACAATAGAGTCCATCGACAACTAAAAAAAMTATTAAAAAAAAAGAAAGTTGGGGCTTAATCTGATATAATGGAGATTTGGGCCTACTTTTTCTTCTATTAGGCGCAGGGTCTCTGGTTTAATTCCTAGGTCCTTGATCCACTTTTGAGTTGAGTTTTGTGCATGGTGAGAGGTAGAAGTTTAATTTCATTTTGTCACATATGGATTTCCAGTTTTCCCAGCACCATTTTGTTGAAGAGGCTATCTTTTCTCCAGTGTAAGTTTTTGACGCCTTTGTCTAATATAAGATAACTGTAATTATGTGGATTAGTCTTTGTGTCCTCTATTCGGTACCATTGGTTTACTCATCTGTTTTGGTGCCAATACCATGCTATTTTTGTTACTATTGCCCTGTAGTTTAGATTATGGTCTGTTATAGTGATGCCACCTGCTTCACTCTTCTTGCTAAGGATTGCTTTAGCTATTCTGGGTCTCTTATTTTTCCAGATGAATTTCATGACCGCTTTTTCTATTTCTATGAGGAATGTCTTTGGGATTTTGATTGGAATTGGATTAAATCTGTATAATGCTTTTGGTAGTAGGGTTATTTTGACAATGTTAATTCTGCCTATCCAAGAACAAGGGAGATCTTTCCATCTTCTAAGGTCTTCTTTAATTTCTTTTTTAGCATTTTGTAGTTTTTGTTGTAGAGGTCTTTCACCTCTTTTGTTTGGTTGATTCCCAAGTATTTTGTTTTTTGTTTTTTTTGGGGGGGTTTTTTTGTTTTGTTGTTTTGTTTGAGGCTATTGTAAATTGGGTAGTTTTCCTGTGGAACCAACCTAGATGCCCTTCAGTCATGAATGGATAAAGAAAATGTGGTATATATACACAATGGAATATTACTCAGCAATAAAAGAGAATAAAAAATCATAGCATTTGCAGGAAAATGGATGGAGTTGGAGAATATAATGCTAAGTGAAGTTAGCCAATCCCAAAAAAACAAATGCTGAATGTTTTCTCTGATATAAGGAGGCTGATTCATAGTAGGGTTTGGAGGGGAAGCACGGGAAGGTTAGACGGACTCTAGATAGAGCAAAGGGGTGGGAGGGGAAGGGAGAGGGCATGGGGGTAGAAAGACGTGGAATGAGGTGGACATCATTACAATAAGTACATGTATGAAGACATGAATGGTGTGAATATATTTTGTATACAACCAGAGATATGAAAAATTGTGCTGTATATGTGTAATATGAATTATAATGCAGTCTGCTGTCACAGATAACAAAGTAGGATAAAAAAGTGTTTCTAAGAATGAGTTTGGGAGGACATCTGTGTGACAGAAGACCAAATGAACTTGCAAAATTAGATGAAAATTTTGCTGAAATGTGTCTAAAATTATTCACATTCTCATATTCCTGAAAGGATTTAAGGAAGCACACAATAGTAGAAAAAAACTCATGAGATGGTGGAAGAGAGAGGATACTAAATGAAACTGTATTTAGCCATAAAGACCTACATATTTGTTGTGGGTTGTCTATAAGTTTGAATCTAAGCTTCCTGGGCAGTAAATGTGAAAAAGGAAACATGACTAAACACGCTATCAACAACATTTATAGTATGAATACAAACTGGTGCTAAGAAGTAGTAAAGAAATTTGGGGATCAAAATTTGGGATTTTCTCCTCATAGTARTAATTAAAGGGACCTATATGATAAAGTGAAAATCTTTTCTGATCAATTTGCAATAAATGAATCAATGACATCTTAGGGTAGTTTCTTATAACCACCTTAAGTATAGGCAAGTGATACCACACTTGACCGCAATTCAGAAAAAGCAATTCTTTTTTATTTTTATTTTTTTCAGTTGTATATGGACACAATACCTTTATTTCATTTATTTTTATGTGATGTTGAGGATCAAACCCAGTGCCTCACACATGCTGGGCAAGCACTTTACCACTGATCCACAACCCCAGACCCCCAAAAAGCAATTCTTTTTTTTTCTCAGTAAATATAATTTATTGGAGAATGATGAAATGATAAAATAAGTAAGAGATAAAATAATAATTGGATATGAACTTGGGACCCTCACAAGCATAGGAAAGTCTTTGAAGTCCTTATTCCTAAGTATAATTTTTTTTCCAGACTTTCATACATTGTATTATACAACTGGTTTGATACAGTTTTGGGAATTTTACATTGAATCAGCAACAGTATGAGCAGTTTAAACTATTTTTTTTAAGTGATTTTTATTGTTTGGTTGGTATTTATGGCTTTTAGAGACCCAGCTAAGCAATGCATTTATCATCATTTATCATGAATGTCCAGGTCAATGCTATTTACTCCCTTCCGAGAATACGGTATTATCTGGTGCTTGTTTTGAGTCAATTAAATTCAGAGCAGAGTGCTAGGAAATGTGGAGAGTCTCAAAAGAAAATGACATATTTCCTGCAGTCAAATGCCCATCAGTTCTAACATTAGTACAAACTGGGTCTCTTTCTGGATGTGACACTTGGTTTGTTTCCCGCAAAAAGCAATTCTTAAAGAAACCAATATATTGCAGTATAGGTGCTCAGATCCCTGCTTAAGTCAGGAATGTATTCTATAAAATCTGAAATGTTTATATGCCTTTCAGGTAATTTCCTTGAACATTGCTTCTTTTTTTTTTTCTTGGTGGGGAGTAGTGTACTGGGATTGAGCTCAGGGACACTTGATCACTGAGCCACATCCCCAGCTCTATTTTGTATTTTGTTTGGAGACAGGATCTCACTGAGTTGCTTAACCCCTCACTTTTGCTGAGGCTGGCTTTGAATTCATGATCCCTATGCCTCAATCTTCAGAGCTGCTAGGATCACAGACATGGGCCACCACTCCTGGCTACATTACTTCTTTTAACAGAGCTTGTAATAAATATTGTGTAATATGATGTCAAGATTTTATTTCCTGGTAAAATGCCTGGAGGACAACTGCTCTCTGTTGTCCAATTTAACACCAACTCAAGTGCCATAACAAACATAGTGAATTAATAACAAATAGAATTAATGAAAGTTTGATTGTGCTCCTTGCCTTTTTGTCCATCATTCAAACACTATTTATGTGATGATCTTGGAGGGAAGGTAGAGAGAGTCCAGAATAAAGCCATTAGTTGAGTTTCTGAATGGATTTTTAAAAACTTTTAGTTGTAGATGAACACAATACCTTTATTTTATTTATTTATGTGGTGCTGAAGATTGAACCCAGTGCTTCCCRCATGCGAGGCAAGTGCTCTCCACTGAGTTACAACCCCAGCCCAAAAGGATGTTTTTAACTAGTGGCTGAAACAAGAGTTTGGAAACCTGAACTTCAAATTGCAAATGCTGGGCTGTTAAGAAAGAAAAAAAATCATGGAGTAAAGAATGCAAAATATGATACCAAAATAGTTTTTCTCTTACTGAGAGAAGGAGCATAATTAAACATAGTCCTAGAACACACATGTTCTTATATGTCACATACCAATACATGTAATACATAAAAATAATCCAATGAATAAAAATAACTTCTACAACATAATGAAGTAAACTAATTAAAATATCATGGACATATTAGAAAAGAAGAGATTTTATAACTAATAACTGCATGAAAATATGTTCAGTAAAATTATTCATCAAAGAAATGTAAATTAAATCCACAATATAATACAAATTAAAATATCTAGAATCACAGTGTTGGTAAAGATGTGGAATAGTTCTTTTAAATTACTGGTAGGAAGGATGCAACTGTTTTGAAAAGAGTTTGGTAGTTTCTTTTTCTTTATTTTCCCTTCTTTACTTTTTACAATAATTCTTTCCTACCTGGTGACTGAACCCAGGC